TTCGATTTTTTTAATCTGTACGGATTGAGAAATTAGTCCAATTAATTAAACGATGCATTGACATATAAAAGTAAATAAACTCTATGTAGAAATTGATATTAATTCAGTGCAATGCACGTTTACGCAATCATAAGTGGCTCCCTTCAGTCTTCCGGATGAATCATGCATACAAAAATCAAATTTCACACAATCAAAATAATGCCGAACCATATGCTTCACTTTTAGTTGAAAATTGCTTAGCAACTACAGCGAAAATAAGAAGTTAAATAAAACACCTGGTTGTGGCTGATGTCAAGCTTTCGAAGTTTTTTCAATTTATATAAGCAATCCGGCACCTCAGGTAAATTGTTATGAGAAAAATCAACATCCTAAAAAAATTAGTAGCAGATGTCGATAAAGATACGTGAGCATCAGGATTATCTTACATTCAGGCTCGCAGATACTCACTGTATTTGCAATACGACTCTTTCACAAAGGATTCATGAAACTGACTGCAAAATCATTCCGTAGAATTTTCAGTGAATAATTACGCAAGTGAAATGTACCTGTAAGTTATCCAAATCGTCCAACGTGGGAGGAATATTCTCCAAAGTACGTGAAGTATTGCGCATATGTAACACCCGTAAAGCTTTCATACTGAAATTCCTACTCAGTTATTAAGCCCTAATATCTTTAATTTGTTTGTTTCAAATTTATAATTATCTACTTAATAAAAAATACCACTCAAAATCACCATATGATCGTCTTTCAATTAAAAAAATATTTGAACAGTGCTAGTAATTTTCATTAGTCAAGTAAAATCTATTAAAAATGAATGATTTAATTCAGCGCTCCAAAAATATTTAAAAATTTTGGACAGAAATGAGTTGAAAGAAAAAGTACCTAGGAAGCTGTTTTAGTTGAAAATGATGCAATGGATTATTGGATAGACGAAGAACTTGTAATGTCGTTAATCGCCGAATTTGAGGGGGAAGCATTTCCAACTTGTTATTACTGAGATCCAAGTATAAAAGATCTATGAGATTTGAAAATACCTAAAAATATCAAAATATGACATAGAACAGAATACACATTCCTTCAGCAGTCTTACTTTGATTCAAAAAATACTCCCAAAGTATTATTTCTTATTTACCATGCATTGAAGATCTAAACATTTTCGTCCTGTATTTATGTAAACAACCGTTAAAAAACAAATACTTACTGCGTTCGGTATATTCTCTATGTTATTGTGGCTTAAATTTAGTACAATAGCACATTTTGCATACTCCAAATTCGGTGGTACTTCACGAAGAGTATTGTGACTAAAGTCTATTATTGTCAAGTCCTTCATCCGAAATATATCAGTAGGAATACCCGATGTTTTAATCTGAAAATAAATGTTGTGCTTTTTATCAAACTTCATTTGAATATTATATACTTAATAAGGATAAAACTGTTCCAATTCAGATACATAAGCGAAAATTCAGTAGCGAATTTCTTAAGACCTCCTTTGTTCTATTTTTCTTACTTGATTATGTCGTACAATAACAGAACGTAAGCGTGGCAAATCAGAAAGCTCTCCATGAACACTTGATAATGTATTACAGGTCATTTGCAGATGCTCCAGGTTTGTTAATCGTGACAGTTCATCCGGCACCTATAAAACAGCTCTTCTAATTTACAACAAACCTATAAACTACTCGAAATCACAGTCATTTCATCTATTTTTCTATCAAATTAAATAAATGTAATGTCTAAGAAAAATATGTATACCCTTTCCAAACAAGCATGGTTCAACTTTAGCCATGTCATCTGCGTCATTTGTTCAACTTCTACCGGAAAACAATCACCCTAAAGAATGAAACACATAAATAAATTAAATTTGGCAAAGACAGCGAATAACAATTAGTAAAAATCTTTTTTTCACTTATTTTCATTAACCTTTAATTTTTATTAACATTTTTCTTTGCAAAATTTGATAAGAAAACAAACTAACCGAGAAGTCATTATATGAAAAATCGATTCCTTTTACAAATGGTAATACACCTGTAGACATTTTCCTTTGCTTATTTCCCACCTTTATTGTATAAATGTAAATTACATCAGTTAATTACCATCAAACTGCCCACATAAACACTGTTAACAAATAGTCGTCGTTATGCATGTATCTCTGTATACCTATAAATGACATGAAATGTTTCATTTCTTTAACTTCTTATTAAAACATAACATTCATAAACGTTTCATAAAAATCTGTAAACGATGTAACACATATCATGATTAAATATTTAAATTAATTGCTGAATAATCACTTTCTGGTAACGTAACATTCTTCATTATATCTTCACGTAGCGCTTATAAGTTAGAAATACATAAAATACAAAACAAAAATATTTATAGAATATTACATCTAATCATACCATAAAACTTCGCAAAAAAAAAAGATTATCATAAAAAAAAAATCAATAAAAAAATCACGGTGAAAAATTAACAGAAAAGGAAAAAATTGATAATCACGCATTAACGATGATGCAAAATTCTACGTACGTCACCTAGTAAATCTTTCTCAATCAAGGTCTTTTCTCTTTATATCTTTACAATTCCTTTTATTTCTTACAATCATTATTTCTTACTTTAACCTCTTTCACTAATCGGTGTCTAGTGATATTAGGATTAGAGTAGCAGTACAGGATATTTCTTCATTAATGTTGTAAATGTAAACTATTAGATTTTGGTATTCAAATTTATTATTCAAAAAAAAAAAAAAAAAGATCTGTTAAATATTAAATATAAATTAAATTTTCAAATAAACGAACTATTCACTAAATTAGTATGTTATTTTCCATTAAGCAATTTAGAGTGCTAAATATAATTTAAGAAAGAGTAAAATTTCTCACTTCAATGTACTCTTTTGATACTATACGTTAATCATTTATCTGTACACTTTCTCACATAAATTTGATAATTGTCAAATTTAAACCATTTTTTACTATTGTGAAGAAATTATTGGTGATAAAAATACACCACAAAAATACTTAGTAATAAATATATCAGTTTGTAATCTATTGCATTATCAAATTTATCAATAATAAGTAATCCATTCATCAATACATTGATAAATTTAATAATAATGATACATAAAACTACATAATATTGAAAAATGAACAAAATATAATGAAGCATTTGCGATTGCTTTATATATACGTTTGCTAAAAATAATTTTTGCAAAAATTTGTTGATAAATTAATTTTTAAAATTAAACAATTAATAATAGATGGTAAAATTTAAAATGTAATTTTACAACACACACACACAGACAGACAGACATCTATGCAAGTTACATTAATCAATCTTTCAGCTGTTTAAAAATGGTTTTTTTTTTTTTTTTTTTTAAATTATCCCTTTGTATATATGTCTAGCTAACATTGATTATTACTTAGATAGCAATGACATATGCTATCATCAAAATTTGACTCTTTTCTTAAAGAAAAAAAATTTTTTTTCTTTCGTCCATAATTTATTTTTTTTTTTTCATAATTAAAGATCAAATTATTTAGGGAAGATAAGTTTGATTAACTTCAAAAATATATATTTTGACAGTTCTATGAATGAACACTTTTTTATGTCATGTTATATGATTCAAATGTTACGATTTGTTTTGTTAACCAATATTTTTTGACTAATTAATATGATTTAAAAAAAAAAAAAGTGTAAAATTCTCCCATAGAAAAGTTCTAACAGACATGAAGAATCTGACATTTATTCAAATAATTAACATGAAAATCAAACTTTCCAGAATAATTAATTGATCCAAACGTTGCGTTATACTTTAATGTAAAATTTTTTCTTTTCTTAACTTTTTGATTATAAAACATTAACTGTATTCTGCATGTATTATTAAAATTATAAAATATAATCTTTCCAATTTACTCATTTTAACTTTCACAAAAATTGATTTCAGTATGAACAACGATATAAAACAAATAGATGTAAAATGTTACATTCAATAACTATTAATTGCTCTTTAGAAATTTGCTGATAGAGAAAAAAGGAGATAAGTAATGTATGAACAAAAATTGATCTATGAAATGAATCAACCAATTCAATCAATTAATTAATAAATTAGATCAATCAATCAACCAATTGGTTGATCGAATAAATTAATCGGTCTGCAAAAACGATCGCATATAACTGCTAACATTCAAATGATAAAACTGTAACTTATCAAATAATTCAGGCATTGATATGTTATTCAGAGTGAAATTGTGTCTATTTATCTGTTTGTTTGTTTTTTGTTTAATCGAGAATTAATCGTAAATTAATTTGTCAAAAATCCAAATATAATATTAAATGAATGACAACGAAAGTTTCGCACACTAAACAAACTAAGCATTCAGTTTTTCAATACTTTATGAGACAATTAGTTGCATATGATGCTGGAGAATTTTTGATGGACCGGGTTAATTGAAGTTGTTTACCTGCAATAAGACAGGCTGGTGTGTGATTTTTGTTGTTGGGGCTGGGTTGATTCGGTTGTGTACCACGGTGGGGCGGGGTTGTTGTGAGTGGATGTGATTATTGGGTAGTGTAATATAAGTACTGAAGTATTTAATGTCATGAGGAAATGATGTGAACTTATTAATGTTGAGAAATAGTGATTAATCTAGTAGATATTGGCTGATCAGTCAGGTGATTCATTACAGAATTGTGCTAGTAAACTGTGGCAGGTTAAATTTTAAGTTGCATATAGACATGCTTGGAATGCATTTATTGTCATATATGGTATTGTTTAACTTTTGCATATTAATGGTGAGAAGAGTGCTTGAATACTATAAAGATTTAGGATGACAATGTTTATAAACCGACAGATTATCTAGGATGAGTTATGGGCATGAAACTTGTTTCAGCTTGCTTCATTGTGCAGTCCTTCAGTTATGATCGATCAATTTGTCATGAAACTCTTATTCATTTAGTGTTGGACTTGTCCGCTTAAATAAGCTGTTTTCATTTTAGATAGCAGTATGAGTCGACGTGGTGGTCATCAAAAATGGGATGCCAAGAAAATGACAATGAAAAAGCTCATTTATTATGATAGCGACTTAGCATCGAGGTTTGATGATGATGATGACGATGGAAAAGTGAGTTTGTTTTTAAGTTTGACTTGTGGAAATTGTTTTTTTTTTTTTATTTTTTATTTTCAACATCACATTAGTGATAGTGATTTATGGGACTGATATTACTGTTTAAACCAAAACAGCCCTACTAATTTAAACCTAAATAGTAGGACTGTTTTGTTGGTGCTGTTAAAACATCTTTTTTTCGGTTGGGGCAGAAAATACATCCGTCACATCGCTGCTTATACCGGATAATTAGGTGTTATGTGCTTATCGTTAAACGGTGACTGCAATGGCTTACGAAATTATTCAGCAAGATCTGATTGTTCATGCAGTATTCTACTTTTTTTTGTAGGATTTCGATCCGCGTTTCTTCCGAGTGCAGGGACGAAACGTGGGTGCTGGATATGGAAGAGGAGGAAGAGGTTCTGGAAGAGGTGTGATTCTAAATCATTACAGACGCTGTTTTATTCCTGAAGTTAGACAAATAGTCATTATGGATTAGAACTTTGATTTGATTGTCTATTTCTGTAGTTGTAGGTAATGGAAGAGATCGCGTATCATTAAAAATTCATCTTGATAACAGACGTGATAGGCAGTTGCAACGTGGTGCCGGTGGTAGTGCGACCACTACAGCAGTTGTTATGAATCAGATTAAGGTATGCACTTCCTTTGTGACTGGTGTGCTTTGAAATCTTAGGAATAGAAATTAATTGACTCTGAATTATTGTTTCAGGTTGTAAGAGGTGCTACAATTGGAAAGGATTTTATTATGCGGTCAATCGGACAATATGTCGACGACGTAAAACCTTTGTTGTTCAGAGTGGATCGAGGAGACATAACATTTTTTGTTGAGGACGATGACGTAAATCAAATTGTTTACTAATAATTCATTCCTTTAATTAGATATTAGTGTTTCTTTTAAATCACTTCTTGGTATTTCATGAGATATTTTCTCTGTAAGTCCTGAGCTGAATGGCACTTAGTAATTCAGCATAAAAGTTTGTAAACAGTTCTAGTCTAGACTTATTTCATTCTATTCTAGTGTTGTTGTAGCTTAGCCTACACGAAGCCTTGGCCATATGATTTTTGATTTTGTAGGATTGTAATTATTATTATTCAGACAGCTGCGGCAATCCATGCTATATCAAGGCGTGTCCGAGATCCGAATACAAATGCACCAATTACCTTTTTATTATCACGTGTATCAGCTGGTTTTGCTACCATATCAATGAATGAAAGAGATCTAATTGCGGTTTCTGTTTAATTATTCGTTTGGTGATTTTAATAGAGAAATGTTAGAGGATTCCGAGGTTTTAAGTTTTCAATTGTTTCCGTTGTCAAAAATTCTAACTCGATAAATCTCTTTATAGTTTTTTTCTCAAATTAGCGGAAAAAATTGTAAATAATGCGCATCGTTTCAGGAATGTTTGAAGAAACGCTATAACGCGGAAACACACGCTCTTGATTTGAGTGAATTTGGTTTAGATGAATGTAAGTTTAATACTTTTTCTTGTCTGATTTCTGAAAAAGCAGGTGCACTATGTTAACTAGATTTGATTTGTGACTTGATTATTTCAAAGTCCAAATTTTTACAGAAGTAAATGAAATAAGTTAAGTCTTCATGATTCGTTAATGGGTTTTCGATTTGTCTCACGGTTGGTTTTCAAAGATGGTAGTTTCTCCTTTGATCTAGCAATCTAATTTGTTGGCAGCAGGTTATCACAAATGACTCGAAAAGTCGTTAACGCTGTTAGAAAGCGGTTGAGGCAAAAATCCATCCGTTTATCTGACATATGGAAAGAGATAGTTTATAAATTTGTTCTTTTGTTTTCAAATAGCTCCACTGCTATCAGTTTGAATGTTTCAGTGTTCCGAACGAGAAGTTTGCATCTTTCTTTAACTCGTAACAATATTATGATGGCAGTTGTCGATTTGATCGACCAATACTATGGAGGTGTAACTGCCTTAAGCATGAAGGTTTTTATTTATGTAGTGCAATACTCTCAAAAATTAGCTGTCCCTAAAATCGTACTTAGAAGGGTATTTACCCAAAGTATAATAGTTTTTGGATTGTGTTCCGATAAGGGATGTAATGAATATGTGATTATGTAAGAGTGTGGGAATGAACTCCGAATGGAATTGGTCTTTTTTTTTTATTTTACAAAGATGAAGACAGCTTTGTCTGTTCTGTAATATCCTATCTTCTACTCTATTTTTAGGGTAATCGCCTTCGCTTTTTGGATTTCTTTGCATGTCTTCTTTATCGCATCAAAAATGTAAAAACATTGGATTTATCGGCTAATCAGGTAGATAGCACTATTTTGATTTCTTAGATTTCGTCCTTTTTTTTCTTTACTTGTTCAAAACTTTCAATAGCTAATGACGTGACATTCGAGTCATAGTGGTTGTCAGTAGCCTGTCTCTGCAAATATTTGGTTTGCAAAAGTAAAATTATTGTTTGTGTAAATCAAGAAATGAGGTCCGTGTTAATTCAGATCGACAAGGAATCGGAATTGGAGAAGCTGAAAGGATGGCCAGTTGAAACGTTATTTTTTGAAAATAATCCCTTATGTGGTTCATATTCATCAGCAGAAACTTATTTAAGGTTATCAGTTGTTTATGGGGAGTTATTCTTTTCGTTCATAGCACTGCTTCAAGCAAATGCATCTATGGTGTTCAGACTATTAAATTTTATTAAATTTTTGGTGAAATGGAACTTGGCTCATTCTTTAAATACTTATCCATAGAAATATTTTCTTGGTTTCATATTTCATTTCATATATGGTGGATGGATATTTATGTGTGCATCCATACATTATATAATATAAGAATGTTCTCTCGATTACAGCGCTGTTCATCGCGTCTTTCCGAAGGTGACCATGTTGGTAAGTCTTTTTCTTTCATGAAGAAACTCATTTATCGAGCTGTTCTGCATATTAACTAGAGTTTCTATTTTACATTGTTTTACATGATTGGATCAGTATGGTGAAAATTTTTTGGGATTGGATTACTTTATTGCATGTAATACGTTTTTTATTCATCGGAATTATGTACAGATGATTATGAAAGAATTATACAAACTTTATTATGCAAAGGACTTCTATTAGTTCTTGTATTCATAGCATGAAATAATTGCTCTTTCTTATCCCAGATGTTTTTAGGATGGTATTCCGGTTCAACGATCTGTTTCATCCATTGTACCAGATTTAGATGAAAATGCTAAGCTACCACTGTTTAAAGTAAATATTTTTTTTCCAATTGGTTTCTATACCAGCTGCAAAATCGTTGCATAATTATCTAGAATTACTGTTGATTTTTCGAGCAGAATGTGAGACTGTCCAGTTTCTCTGATTGCTGATTGATTTATAAAATTCACGGCCAATCCTTAAAGTTTCTGTTGTTTTTAGCCAAGTTTTTACGGCACCGATGATCACCGTGCTCTTATTGAAGCATTCATTGTCGAATTTATGGTTGCATATGATGATCCGGATGTTAATAACAGGAAAAATTTGATTAATGCTTACGATGAAAATGTTAGTCGTATTTTTAATATTTTATGATTTTTATAATGTGTTGTGGACTACGATCAAAAGATATTTCTAAATGGTTGATATATTCCAGTCTTCCATATATCATTCTTGCAATGACTTGCAGTGTTTTTCATTCTACAGCCTTATCATCTATCAGTATTGCTGAACTGGGATTGTTTTTTGCATCAGTTTTTGATTTTAGGCTACATTTACAGTGTGTGCGGAAAATTTAACAGATGCAAATGAAAAGAAACCTTATTTCAACCCAGGGTTAGTATCATTTGTGTCATCGCCTTTCTTTATCTAATGCTTTACTTTATTTTTGTTTTGCTTTACCACTCAAATGACAGTAGCTTAAATGATTTGCTTTTAATAATAAATGATGTGTTTTGACCATTTTGGAGGTCTCAGCGTATAGAATATTTTCACGCATTTACTCATTATAACTGAAGGATGAAAATTTAGGATAAAAATTCCTTATAATGAAAGAATGGCAAAAACAAACACTGATATAATATTTTTTTATAGCATATATAGTACTTATCGTAAAACATCGCACAATATCAAATGTATGGAAAGATGGGAACGTTTTCGAGAAAAAGTAATATATAAGGGAGCCATGGATATTATTGTTGCTTTGCGGAAACTTCCAGCTACCAAGCATTTGATGGATACATTTTTGATTGACGTTTCTTTAATAACTGTAAGTTTAATGATTCTTTACCACAGTCATAGTTTTAACTGGAGATGTTTTATCGATTGCATTGGTGTTAACCGCCACTAGATAATAATATTGAGATTATTTTTTGTTGCATTCATTTCACTTAAGATATCTCACTGCATTTTTGTAAGAGCAATTTCTAGGACAAGCACATGTGTTTCGCCGTTGAAGGTTTTTTTCGTGATGGTTTGGAAAAAGTTGGAGATGATGACGAACTCAGATTCTTTTGTCGTAATTTTGTTGTTATTAACAAGGGTGATGGGTAAGTTTTCATTATTTCTGCAGACATTATATTTTTTGTTGGTAATGAGAGCATAATAATAGGTATTGATAAGGTTCCGATTGGAAGTAGAAAAACTGTGTCCACTATAGCAGTGATAAATGTCTAATTTTAGAAAAGTTTTTCTTAAGAGTTGCTCAGCTGTTTGGCTGTTGCTCCTTTGTTCTAGTTTCAAACCACTTCATATTAGAAGTTTCATGACTTTATGATATCGCTCAGAAAATAAAATGCCTTATCCTCAGAAAAATAGCAGTTGTCAATGACATGTTGTTTGTCAGTGGAGTATTTATGGAACGGATACAGCGGTATAAATCGATGGTGACGAATTCCTTAAAAGTTTGATCTTTTTCAATTTGCAACCTCTATTATAGTGTACCCATCGCTGAAAATGAATATAGAGCTTTTTTTGTGATTGCTTTTATTTACGTCACTGACTGAAAATTATTACAAAAAAATATTACTATGAAAACATTTTTAGATACCTCCAGATGCTACAGTTGCAACAACAGATGCAATAGGTGGAATGTCCATAACGGATAATATTCAAAGCTCCGCAGTATCGGTCCCTCAGCAGCAGGAACCAACACCATCTGAACGTGCTGCGGCAGGTGACCGAGAAATGCAACAACAAATGGTTGATGCGTTTTGTCAAGAAAGTAGAATGAAACCAGAATGGTCTAAGAAATGTTTAATTGATCAGAATTGGAATTATGAGGTTTGTTTTAAGTTTTTTTTTTTTCTAATTTAAAAGTCGAATCAACGCATTGAAAAGTACATATCAAATATTTACTTCTCATTATTCATGTTTATCTGCCTTATAGTTCTCGATTTTTTCGTTGGTATGTGTATGCCCATTTGATATTTCAGGCTGCGGGGCAAGCATTTTTAGCTGTACGTGATAGGATTCCGGCTGAAGCTTTCCAAGAGTAATTATATTAAAAAATTCTAGAAAATCTCGAGAAATAGTTTTTGGCCACTTGCTGCCATGTATAATAACTTTAATAATGAAGTGGACTTTCCCGTTAATGATTTGTTTAATTCTTCTTTATTTGTATGTTTGGAAAGTTAATGCTATTCCATATGTAATTTTGTGATGTTATTCTAGCTTTTTAGAATTTTTAATGTGTGAATTACTGAGATAGATACCGTGGTGTGAAATATACCAAGTATTTATTACGTGTTGACGTTATTGCTTTGTTCCTAATTATTCTACTTGTGAAATATGTTTCTATTACGGAAATTTTTTTATCCTAATTTAGTAGGAAGCTTCTTACATTTATTATGCAAAGTAGTTGATTGTTGAGCAATTATCTACTTAGTTCATCTCATTTTATAATAAGAACATTTTCTGCAGTTATTTTACGTCTTTTAAATTTCATAAATTTTAGTATTTTGAAATTGCAATGGTGATCAATTTTGTGCTTGTTGACAAATTTCAAGTAATATTCTTTTAATTTCTTTTAATCTTTCATAAGCTAGGAAATTCATTTTTCTTCATGTCCAGTTTTGATCTTTATAATATCGCCATGTAATATTGTCTGGGAGGTATTCTTATTCTTGTTGTTTTAATTGTTTTTACGATCGGACTGAGGATGGAGAGAACAAAGTTGGGAGGATTTCTGTTTTTTATCATGTCATTAACTCAGGACATACGTCATAACTAGATATAATAGCAATTATTTCTTGCTTCGTGAAAATCGAAAAGTTGGAAATGGGAGCAGTATCATGCGATTCGTAACTTTCAAGATGACAATATCCCATAAAAATTTTCCTGATTGTCTTTTGGGACGTAATTTACTTCTTAAGAGAAAAGGAGTCATTGGGCGGATATGCCAGCTCCTTATGACCATTGCTAAAGAAGAAGAGAGAGAACTTCAAACATCTCTTTCTTCATTTTACTTTATTATTTTGTATTTTCTTATTGCTACTGCTGCTGCTGCTTCCTTTTCCATTACTTAAAGGTCTTATTTTTGTTTACGTTGCAAGAAATTTCTGGTTGTCGAGGTGTGTATTTGAGTTTTTGACTTGATATTCAATCTTTTTTTTTTTTTTTACCTCCTTAACTTTATTCTTTTTTTGTCTCACTGATCGTTTTATCTTCCTCAGTACTAAATCATTTTTTTCTTGTATTTTCATGTCTTTGAATAAATTTATACCATACGTGTTGAATAAAAAAACAATGTTTGTGATTCCTAGTGTTTTTCTTACAAATTATCCATTTATAATCTGAAACCACTGGGTTTTCCTTCAGTCTAAGTTCAAAATTACCATTTTGAAAAGAACGTGTGTTTTTTTTTTTTTGAGAGAGAGAGAGAGAGAGGTATGGGAGATATAGCAAAGTAGATTTTTGCATATAAGCTTTTTGAAATTGTACTGCCAAATTTTCGTCTGTTACAAGTATTATCTAACACTGAAAGTAGGTATAAGTTGATAATAGTTGGGAAATTGTTGGCAGATTTCAGAAAGCTAAAATCAAATATTTAACGGTAAATTTGAGAAATTGCGGAGGATGTAGAGAGTTGAATTTGGCGACTTTATTATTTGTTTAAAGGGAAAGAAAAATGGATTAATTTTTAATCTGAATTTTAAAAATAGAAGTAACTCTTCTAATATAAATCAATAAATTAACCTCTTGACCATAGATCAGTTCTCTTTCGTAATTGATTAAAATACCCGAATTTTTGGTTACATAATTGTGTGTGGTGCGACATTCATACAAAACGGCAATTGCAAATATGAAATATTGAAAGAGAATTTTGAAATGAATAGGAAATAGACTGGCATATGTTATAAAATATTTAGTTACGTACTATTTGCTCATTTTTGTTTTGTAATTTTTCTGAGGGAGTATCATTTTTTTTTTTTTTTTCTTGTGTTTTGTCAGTCTTGATGGAAATCTATCTTTTTAATTCTTTCGTTTGATAGAATATTGAAAGGCATATGTGAAAGATAATTTTTCATTAATTTTATTGTTATTAATTTTTGCATCATTATTTTAAAGAGAAAAAAGAAAAAGAAATTTATTTTAGGAGAGTTAGGCACCGTTATTTACAAATTCTTATATAGTTTACTAAAAAACAAAAAGTTTATGTCATCAAATTCATCACCGGAAACACGAGGTGGTTCACGTGATTCGAAAAATAGTCCAGATTCAACAGATCGTAAGAAAGCAACTCATTTAAGATGTGAACGACAGCGTCGAGAAGCCATCAATGTTTGTCCATTTTAATTAATTTTGAATTGTCCGGTTAATCAGTAGAACTGAGATGTATTTGTATGTTAAATGCTAATAGTTAACTGAATTATATCAATCTTAGCATAACATAAGATAGTTTTCAAGTCAATTTTAAACTCACTTCAACATCCGAAATTTGAATTGTTTTTTCTTTTTTTATACAAAAAATGCACATTTGACTGTTATAATGCCATTATCTGTGGAAGTGACAGTAATTACTACTACTAGTAAGTAGTAACTTATATTCGATCAATAAATTATAATTTACTTGCTGCATGTCATGAAAGTGACTTTAAAATCAACAATATAAAGAGAATTTACTGATTCGCAATTGCTTGCTCAGGATCCGGAACTCCAGAAGGCATTCCTGTACAAGTTAACTTTGTCAGATCATCATCTGATCATGTGATTCTGTTTTTATTTGGGAGTGAAAATAGAAGAAAAACAGATTACTCGGGTTGTTCTAAAATTATGTTATATGTACGCTTAACCTAAGATGGCATAATTTCATCCAATTTCTTATGTGAAATTTTTCAAAATTTCAATGGTTTAGATTGGATATCAGGAACTGAAGGAGTTACTGCCATCATCATTCTCACCCATTGGGTGTAAAACGACTAATGCAGCAATTTTATTTCGTGCAGCTGATTATTTAAATCAATTAAAAAAGGAGGAAGAAAATCTGAATGAAACACTTTCTCAGTTAGCTGCACAGGTTTGTAATCTGTCACAAATTTCTTTTTTACTTATTTTATACTTTTTTTGGGGGGTGTTTTTTCAGATAGTTTTGCTTATTTAGGTGTCAGCACTTGAACTTATCGCCAAACAATATGAAAATATGGCAGTAAACAGTTGTACATCTAACAAATCTTCTATTCAGTGTCAAATTGTGAGTAGTTTTTATTTTAAAGAGTTGAAGATCAAATTTTTGGTTAATTTTTTTTTTTAAAGATCAAATTTTTGGTTAAGTTATTTCATGTTATTGATTTTCTATTATTTTGTCCAAAAAAAAAATATTTGTGGCCGAATATAGTTATTCGATTAAATCATATGTTTTCTGAAGAAATCATCTAACAGAGTAAGATGTAACGAATCACTTAATTTTGGTTTTTATCATTTCTAGAATATTGTTATCTTTTAATCTATGGTCAGCCTTAATAATTTTAATGTGTGATTAATCTTTTCCGTACTTAGAATCATTTTCAGATTCAAGCCTTTCTTGATTCGTGTTTTGCTTCATTTCGCAGACAAGTAAATGTTTCTAGCTTACAGTCCGTGATAGAGACACTGCTACCTTGGGTGGAAATTGTAGATTATGATGTTAGTTTGCTTGTTATTCTTTTAATCCTAATATTTCAGGAGACGAGAAATCTCGTGAAAATTTTCGTTTAATATGGTATTACTAACTGCTTATACAAATATAATTACATATATATATATATTTTTTTTTTCAGAAAATTTCTCGGGATACGTTAGACGCCGTGTATAAATGTTGACAATGAATAGTTCAATGCTGTTCGTTTACTAAAGAAAAGTGTCATAGATATGATTAGCTTATTACCATATGTTCATAATAATTCATTTTTTTTTCCTCATTTCTCATATTCATTTATACATTAGTTCTGCTAACTAATAGTCTTTAAGTTAATTGAGATTATTCGACCATTCAGTAACTACAATTCTCCTCTGAAATAATCATATCTCATTAGAAAAGATTATTTATATGAATGCTTACAATTTGTAATAATCAAAATTATTCCAACTAGTCTATTTTGTTTGTAATTTCTGAGAGATATGTTGTGAATCAGCACTTCAATTAATTTTTTCAGTTTCTTTTTCACTTTTTTTTTTTCGAAATTGTAGAAAGTTTAATTCATTTTCGTGATTAGAATTATTTGCGCAAATCATCCTTGTATAGTTACGTCGTAACATTTACTGCCTTCAATATGTACTTTTCCGGTATTTTTTTTTACCGGAGAATTTGAATGGAAACTAGTAGAATTCCTTTACGCAAGTAAAGTCTTACTTTGGCATATATGTATTGCATGACGTGACGCACGTGTTTGAATATAAGTTTTCATTATTTTTGGATGGCGAATTTGTACAAATAATCATAAGAAGGTAAGATGGAATAAGAATTTAAAATCGATGGAATGAAAATGGTTAACTAATTAAATGAAAAGAGATGAATTAACTTTAGCTGCACTTGAAATTAGATTTCATTTAAACCTTGGTTTAAATTCGTGAGTTTTCAGTTTTAATTTAGGATTAAAGAGATTAACATATCGACTACAATTCATATTTTAATCTTTAGATACTTCAGATAGGTTAGGTTAGATGGTTTGGGTGCGATATTTTACTTATTTAAACTTTAAGTTAACCTTTGAGGTGAAAAAAATTTTAGACTACTGATAGTTAAATTACCAAAATTATTGGTTAGGTAAATGGAAGCTTTACAATGATTTATATAACGGAAGTTTGATATCTAGAGATCGAGATTGTTGGTGATAGATAGGTATATTAATGATTTGCCATTTCCGTTTTTTTTTTTTTTTATCCGGAAAGCCAGTAGTAATTATACTATCATCGATTCTTCCGAGTTTTTTTTTTTTTTCTTTTTCTCATATCAAGTTAAACATTCTCTTATTTGATTTTGCCGCTAGTTTAGTACACATTCATTGATAAGTAAACTAGTAGAGCTGAAGATGAATAGGTCAAAGGGCAATAAATAGATATATGTTATATTGTGCTAATAATACTCATCCTGTCTTCTTTCAAATGATAGCATAAACCAATTCAACGTAATAAATTGCGAAAAAAAAATGAAAAGATAAAAATCGATTATTTATAAAATTTTCATTTTTAATCCTTCCTTACTTTCTTTTCTCTTCTCTACTTTTGAAACGAATTTAAAATTTCTCAAACTTCCTTTCCCTTCCTTTCGTTTTCTCAGCAGGATGAAAAAAGTTTTTACCTCAAACTTAATATTTGTTTATTTCTTTTCTTTTCTTTTTTTTTTTTTTTTTTTTTTTTTGTCCTGGACATTATCTAATTTGTTTCACTAAACTATAACTATGTTATGCTTATTGATCAGAAGAATACTAGGCTACCAAAGGTATATTTCTATCAGAGGAATGCTAGGCTACTTGGCTTATCAGAAACTATCACGCCAAGTTCTCAAAAAGTATTAGGCAGTTTGGAATATCCATCTGATGTGAGCATTTTTTGTGGTCATAATTATTTGGATAATCAAAGTGATGATTGTAAATATAACTTTTTCCTTGGGTATTTCTTTTTTTGAACTTCATTTCTTTGTAAATTTTATTTCGTTGATTATCGTTTCACTTGGATATTGTATAATATCAATTTACTTTTTCCTTTGTTTATTTAAATTATCACTGATGCAGTTAAGTGTAATCTTTCAGATCGAAATTCAACGATATTGACTGATTAAATAATTATGATAAATGATATATCTCATGTTTATTCTCTCCTGATCATAAAAAAAAGGTAAGTTTGACCAGTATCGAATACTTTCTTTTTCTAGTTAATTGTTTTTTTTTTTTTTTTTTTTTTTTTTTTTTTTTTTTTGGGGGGGGGGGATTGTATTCCATCTTTTTGTTTGGTCCTAAAAACTAGAATTTATATTTAAGTATTCGTATTGTTCACTGTCAGAAGAATTCTTCTGAATCAAAACAGTGAAGAACTTTCCAATATTATCTTAATGATATTTTTGTGAATAGATGAAAATGATATTGTTATGCTCATTAATTCTAAATCAACTTTTGGAATCATTTTTTGATCTAATCTAGTTGTTTTTTTTTTTTCGATTTAATTCTATCTAATCCGATCATTGTTAGCCTATGAATGATAATTGCCTTGTATGCGACATTTCGAATCGTTTCAATAGTATCTGCTAACTTTATCTATATAAAGCATCAGTTCTACATTTGATTCACAGATTAAAATGTTCAGTTACATTCATCAGTAATTTAATCTTTAATAGCTACTAAAGCTCAAGTGTATTCGTGAAAGGGATGAATTATTTTCTGCATATATTTATTTTATTAGATATGAAATTGATTTTAATAATTATAACCAAAACTACGAATCATTCTTTTTACAGATCTGTACCGTGAAATCTTTAGTAATTTGGGTTTGTTCGTTACTTTTTTCTTGCTTCGTCTTTTTGTCATGCGCAATTTCTAAAGTTGAGATTTTATTTTTCTCAATCTTTTCCGCATTTTTTATAACTCAATCACTGAATGGAAATTGCAAATTCTTCATCAAGCTAAAACAATCATTCCAAAACAGACTACGTTTAGAGTGATATTTGGAGATACTTCAATACTTTGATGGAATTATGAGGAATTATTAAACAGTAAACTAGTAGGAATTGAGAAAACAGAATGTACAGATTTTAAAATAACTAACATTCTGTAAAGGTATATACAATGTGAAACATTTAATATTTCAAATATAATGTAGAAATTAAAACTTTTCGTAAATCCTGAAACACAAATTATCTTTGTTTTGATTCGTAATAATGAAATTAATGCATGTCTGAATTGATGATATGTGAAATAGAAACGCAAAAGTAGGACCTTTTGGTTTCCTATTTCTGTCCTAAAATAAGCATATATGAAGCAAAAAGAAACTGAATTAGAGATAATTTTAAAACACTGAAAAACAAATTACGCACTCATGGAATTTCGAAAGACTGCATTATGCATTCATCTCAACATTATGATACCTAACTGCTCCATGATGTTTTATACAATGTAATGAAAAAAAAAAAAAAAATAATAAATAATAATAATAATGCAGAGATGTTCCTGTAGTGAGGGTGAAAACATACATTAAATGCAAAAAGTTATTCATATTAAATGCAGGAATCATCAATAATTAAATCGGATAAGTCTGGCATTGCAGTCTTCATATTTGCATAGTCGTATATTTCGATATTTCGAGGCCTGAACAGGCTTTCAACTATCTGAACAAATCAGTTTTTTAAAGCTTCAAAATTAAGTTTTTTTCATGCATATCAGTGGTTTACACATATCAAGTAGATGACATGAAATTTAGGTGACAGAAGTAAATTCGTAAAGTAGACTTCTTGAAGAAATAACAATTTGAATCAGAAAACAGATATTAAGCGAGAACTTTTGTTTCTTCGGTAATAATACGCACTCTATTATTAATGCGTATTATATTAGAGTATCAGATAACATAAGCTATTACAAAATCATTTTGTTTAGCTCACAACAACAACATTAGAAAAAAAATCATGTGTTTATATGTTTGCTATATCGTCAAATGAATTATTTAATTAAAATTAACAAAAATTTATGGAAATACCTGCTTCCATCGCTTTCTTTGGAATCTTTCTCCATTTTCAGCGACCAGAACGAATGCTGAATGAAAGTTTTTTTTTTCTTCTTTTAATCTCATAAACTGATTAAGTTTTACTTTTTTCTCTTCAGAAAATTAGATAGTATTAGCATTTATAAACTTACCAGTGGCAGCGATAATCGGTAATGTAAAATTATTATAATGAACAATACGACCCCAATGATGCCAGCATTTCACACAATTCATCTGCAAAAATGAACTGAAAGTAAAAATTGCAGTTAAGTTTTTATTTTTTTATCTTTTAAATTTTTTAAAATGCTAAACATGTTCTTCCAAAACTTTTTTTTTCCACTAAATTGACTATGATACAATAATGCTACAATTTAAAAATTATACCGCTCCAATGCCTTTAAACAGAAAATCAGCTTCTCGTTCTATCGTAGCTTTCGAAAATGCACGCTGAATTGAACGATTCCAAATTTCTTTGCAAACGCAAATATACTGCGAATAAGTGGGTGTTACGACAATTTCATTACTATTGCAAATAACTGCATCACATTTTCTAAAAATTAAGACACACAAATAGAAATTTTTTAGTTAATACAAAAAAAAAAATAATTTTTTCTTTTTTTATTTTAATTTTTATAATTTTAGATGTAAGATGGATTGTTATAAAACCGGGATATGACCAATGTCTCGCCCATAAATAAAATACCACACCTATCAACACTAAATCTGCTGAATAAAATCAATCAATACTAACTTTGTTAAATTCTGCAGTATTTTGCACTGAATAGTTTAGCAAATACTCAAACTTTCATCATTCTAAATGACAAACAACTCTATTGCACAAAATGGTTTAACGGTTTTTATTGACTACTTTGACTTTAAGCATGGTGAATTAATTTGCACTAATCATATGACTAGTGAATTAATACATTTACCATATGAATAAAACATATGTTAGCAAGTAGAAAAGAAAAAAACCATTGATACTTATGATCAGATCTCTGCATTAGCTTTTTTTTCAGTGATATCGAACGAATAAAACTAACTTGCATAATAATGTGTACCGGTTAGAAGTCAGTACAATCTTTTTCTCATCCAATAGCAGTTTTTTTCGGGTTCGCTCCATAATGTTCTGTTTTACACGTTCTGCTACCTAAATTTTTAAGTATCAAATCTTCTCACTTAACTATCTTCCTTTTTAATTTCTGGTTAACATTTAGCATAAAGTATTTGCTTCCTCAGCTAAACTCGTGTTTTGCAGAAATTTTTTTTTTTGATCTACACACATAAATGTTCTTCAAATAATTACAATTCGAAATGAAATATCAAAAATAGATTTGACTGATAAAATATAACTAAAGTCATGTGTCTTTCCGTTCTTCTCAAATTTTTGTTTTCCTTAAAAATAATTGAAAACACTGGTACTAATATTAACATTCTTTTTCATACTTCGTCCTGAAACCAATCCGGCGGTTTCTGATTGATCAATTTCAAAGCATTTCGCATAATTTGCTCTCGGTTGATATTTTTCTCCTCACGAGCTTGTAATTTTGCATCATTTGTTATCAAAACACAACGTGAATTTGCAGCTCGACCACGTCCTAAAATATTTGCTATATATTAATGAAAAATGAATGGAAATAAAGCTTCCATTCTTTATCAGTAATTTTTTGTTTAAACAATAAATTTCGATCATTTTTTAGTGTTATATCGAAATGACATTAAACCTATCAATTCATGCACCTCAAAAAACTTTTAACAATAATGTCGTTGGAATAATCTTTTGTAGATATTATATAAATGAGAGATGAGTATGTAATAAGTTGGTTTTATCACTGATTCCATAACAATAATCTCATTCTCAAATGAAAAAATAAGACTATAATGCTTCCTACGAACTTTCAAATTATAGAAACGAATGCTGAATTTGTTGAATCAAAGAATGAATTACGAAACTCTTCGTTGTACATGTGCAATTTCATTGGTTACGTAATTATATTTGATGACAAGGTTGCACTTCTGAATGTCGATGCCTTCTTCTGCGACCGATGTTACGCATAAAATTTTGATATCACCTGACGTAAATCGTACCAGTGCATTACGTTGCTGATTGGCAGATTGACCACCAAACTCACCTGATGCATTGATACCTTCAAATAAAAAGTTCAAAATGATTGAGAGTGCAAAAACAGACAAACTTGATTTGTTCTAGATAGAAGAGAAAGAAAAAAGAAGACAGGATGAGAAGGAATGTAAAAGAACATTTTTACTTTATTTTTTGTATATGGATATATGTGACTTATTTCAATTTAACAGTGTAACCGATGCTTCTATTCCTTACTCGTCCTTTTCGTTTTAAAACACAAAACATACCAAACTTGAAAAATCAAGTACGACCTGACAAATTCAGACAATTCAGAATTCAAGCTTAATATAACATAGAAATTTCGTCATGAAAAAGTTGAACTCATATAAACTGCGTTGGGTACTAATAAAAACCCCATATGATTGAAAATTAATCCCGAACGTCTTAAACACATTTGAAAACCCGGAAATTTCATCTTGGTTTTTTAAAAATAAGGATTATTTTATCTACAGAAATACCATTTTTTTTTTTTGCTTTAAATATACAAATACCGTAATGAAAAGTACCCGTAATGAAATCCGATTTAGCATTCAACATATGTAAACTTTCATCTTTATTCAGTTCTTCTGCTAATTTTCCTGCAAAATATCGCGTCGATACGAAAACAATAGCGCGTCCATCTCCTAGTCTAGCAAACTGATCGCGTAATTCACTATAATATTATAAATTTTTTCACAAAAAATGTCTAATGAAATGCAAATTTTTCAACAAAATTTAAGACTTATTCAAACAAATCCAATTTTATTCTGAGAAAACAAAAAAAGGAATTACCGCAAAAGTTCATTGTATAGTTCATTATCTGCATTATCCCCAGTAACAGTTTTTAAAGGGCATGCTAAAAGACAGCAAAAATCAATAATAAATCGCAGATAAATATATAATAATTAAAATTGAAAATAACAGTAATTAACAAGTAATAATAGTGAATACAATAACGAAATAGCTTTCGACATCAACATGTTCAAATTAGCATTCAAAATGTGAGAATTTTTTTTAATTTGATAAAAGTAGATTTAGAAAACAGATATTAATGTGTTAGAAAAACACGTACTTTCCATGATATCCACGAGTTCCTGATCTGCAGTATGCCGAATAAAGCTAAATTCATTTTCGAAATACTTTTTGGCAACGCATGAAGGGAAATGAATGTAATAGTCTAAGGAACGAAACAAGATCTGAAATAAATAATTTGTATAATTTGATCTATAAATTCTATAAATTTATAAAATAAAATTTGATCTACAAAAAGTCCGTTTTTTGATGTTGAAGCTAGATTAGATAGTATTTTTAGGTGTAATTAAGTAAAATAACATTTTTCTATATTATTCAATTACATTTGATAATCCAATCGTTAAAAGCAATGCTTGCATCTGTCTCGTTAACCACATAAAAAACAATCGTCGTGCATAAGAATATAAGGCACTACTAGTCAACAAATTATTACATTTTAGCTAAACTCTAAACATTTGCACAACTTTTGTTAGTTAATGCACGATTATATTTTATCATTTTATCAGCTAGTTCAAAGCATCCACTTCTCATGGTAGAATATTTTCACATTGCTGTTATAATTTATGCTTAAGCACAAAATTAAAAATTTATCTAATTCAAAATATTTAGACAAAACAAAATGAACAATTTCTAGCCAAACAATATTTATTTTAAATTCGAAACATACCCCAATTAATTGCAAACACGTCATTAGATGAAAACGAATCACCCTGTCAAGCTTTGCTAACGGTACAAACCCGACCAACAGCTGAGAAAACCACGTTTCATACACTGAAACATGGTTTATTTTTTCAAGATTAAAAATGAAAGTTGAATAAATTTCCAGTAATTGTTTCAATTTTTTAAAAAAAGAAAAGCACTTTTAAAAGACACTAACAACGTGAACTAACCTTTGGAGCATTTATCATGTGGTGGATTTAGCAATTTATGGAGTAAATCTTGGTTTGAATTATCATGTATTTTATCGGACATGGAAGCTGATCTTACTAAAATGAACAACATCTACAAATATCATACAAATTGGATTTTAATAAGAAAACTTAATTGAGGCAAGTCATACAAATTCGACAGAAAATTAAGGCTACCGATTAATATAGATTTTATTGAAACTTTACTGATACGCAGCTATAAGTACGAAAGAAACAGTTTAAAATACATTTAAAGTGAAATAGCTTAAAATACATTTAAAACGTTAGAGTAGCTTGCTGGAAGATACATAACTGGAGATAATTTAATCGACTTCAAAGCCGAATGTTAATCAACTGATAATTTTGAGTAATGAAGTCAAATTATATACCAATCTTGCTCAAAAAAATTTCAAATCGCTTGAAGAGATTCAAGATACCAATGACTATTGAATCAGTTTTTATATTGAACGGAACCAGTTTCGTCTCTACAAAAGGTTTCTTTTTTTTTTTTTCTCACTAATCAGGAAAATCTACAAAACAATTAAGAGTTCATTTAATAAGTTGGAATTTAAGTTGAAACTGAAAAGCCTCAAAACATAACCTGAACTGAAACAATAATAAATCAGAAGAGCTTTTAGAAAAGTAGAAGTGTACGATTCCCACTGGAGTAATTCAATCGTATTTAAATATAAGCAACAAGATAAAAAATTTTCAGCTATTCAGGAAATAAAAAAACTTCAAAATTCTTACCGTCAGCAGCAATAGAAGAAAACGCACGGAGTTCATCGATGTTTTCACGTACGTAACTTAGAACAGTGATATCCAAGTTCGCACATATTTTAATAAAATGTTCTACTGCTTCCGAAGCATTTTGAGCACTACCAATACCCAGCGAAGCTGTCAAACCAACAATCTGCAAAATGCTAGTATCAAAATTCATAAGTTGATAGTAACTATTATTTACAAAATTTTGGAAATTTTATTTCTGTAGCACATGCAAAAACAGAACTATTCATTTATATTGATAATTTTCTTTCTTGTAAAAAAGCTTGTTGTAGTGCTACTAAACTGATTTTTTAATAAATATTGTCTAATATAATTGATAAACTACAGACTAACAGTTAAAATATGTTGATTGGTTGTTAATCTGTTCGAAAAATAACATTCAAATGATAATGCAACACATTAATATCATTATCCTTAAAACAGTACCTGAGGTAAACGTTTTCCATCCAGAATCTTGCCGGTGTGTTTCATGTCATGATAGTTATTCATTATTACTAAAACAGAAGATTTTTAGCAAAAAAGTATTCTCCGGTATAACCAATAATTTTCCGATATTTGGTAATTAAATTAAATTATCACAACAATAGAAGATAAATTTTCATTTCTCTTGTGATTATAAGTGATAAAGTTTTGAAAATACCATTATAGGGATGATTTCCATCTGCATGATGAGCTTCATCAAAAAACATTAGCGAAAATGACGATAACGAAAAAAGCACACTGTTTTTTTCATTAGAATCATTCATGAGATTCCTGGAATATTAAATGATGCAAGAACAGTTGGAAATGATCTTGTAATCAAATAATAATAACAATTCTGTTAGAAAAGCGTGAAATGCCCAGTACTCAATTACTTTGTAAATTACGTAAATGTTTCGATGTGAAACAATTTATTAAAAATTATTGAAAGAAGTACGATGTTTAAATTTTTCTATTTGATATCGATTTCTCATTTCAAAAGTCCAGAAGTTATTCTATAAATTTTCATACTTCCTGTGAACAATAAAACAAGAAATTTTAAAATACATGTAAAAGTACTAACACAATAAGCTGGGGTGTGATAACAATAACATCATGAGTTGCAATTGTCTCCGCAACAGGTGTATTCGCCGCTACACCGCATAAAAAGACAACTTTCCAGCGATGTCCAACAAATCTCTTCAACAACTTTGTCTGTTGCTCCAGAAATACTACATTGGTAACGAAGAAACAAATCTAAAATTTTCTGATCATTCTTCACATTAGACGTACAGTGAACAGAAAATTTTCAAAAACAAAGGACTTTGAAATACGTGTAATTGACTTGAATTAATGTTCCGATAATATTGATACAAATACTTTGTTGATAACTTCTTTTAGCTTTCGACAACTTTTCACTTTTTAAATTTCATAAGCTATTCAAAAACACTGAAGCTAATTGAAGAATTAATAGCAAAACTTGTTGCTAAAAAATACTAGAAAAATAAAAAAAAAATTTTTTTCCAAGACAAAAGACTTTAAAATACGTGTAGCTGAATTAAAGTTCCAACAAAGTGAGAATGTGAAATCATTAAAATTTTGAAATACCTTCGTATGTAAATTATTTTTCCTGCCCATTACAAGATGATTTCGAGCGATCGATGCCGCTACCACAGTTTTTCCAGTTCCTGTTGGTGCACAAATCAAAGTATTTTGTCCATCGTAAGCTGGTTGAGCTATTTCTTCCTGATATTTTCGTAAAACCATAACTTCACCTGTAAAAAAGTTTTCTCTAATCTGTCTCTTTATTTGTTCTGTTTCGTAAACTTCATCTCTATGATGAACATAAAGATTTTCATAAGCTATTCTATAGACAAGCACCATATGCAGAGTTTGTATTTATCGTCTTATTCAATAAAAGTGCACTAAAATTATTTAACTCATCAAAATTTCCTGCATCTTCTCCAGCACAGATATTCTTCAAAGAAATAACTAGTTTAAGATGTAATGAAATAATTGACTGATTATAATGTTTCCTTATTTATCTTAAATAACATCAAAATTATCATAGAAAGAAATAAGAAAAACCTTCATAAATATCATCCTTGGCTGCATCTGATGCATTGACAGGAAAATGCTCATAACGTAAATCAACTATGCATGTCTTGTCCAGTTCATTTGATCTTGAGCTCATAATAACATCAGCTATTGGAAAATCACATTCGCAAAAATAAAGTTTCCCTGGGAAAAAAAATAGAATTGTGGAAATGTAACACCAAAATGTTATCGACAAATCTGAGACGCATGCTTGATAGTTAAAGACAAAAATGAATGAAGGAAAAAATGGGCTGACGAGTATTTTCCTCAATCAATCTCATTTTCTGAAAAAGCCTTCACTGCTTATAACTGTACATTGGATTGACTTAAGTAGGAAACTTGACAATTTTTAAATTAGCGTCTTAGGGTGAATAATGTTAGTTAAAAAAGATGAAAATTAGAATCATATTAAAAACTGTTGTATTGCAAAATCTGTCTCTCAGAAGTGATAAAATATCAGGAATGATTAAATATATGAAGAAAATCATTGTTATATCAAAGCAGTAATATTCATTCGTCTAAAAACTTTGTCAAAAAGTTTGAAGGAATGGAAATGAAACGAAAGATGAACATAAACCAAATAACGAACCCTACCCAACCTTTCAGAAAGCACTTCGAAAATTTCAAGACAAAGTGTATAGACTTCCCGTACAGCTGCATTCATTTGCCGTTTACAATTTAAGTACTAAATTTGTAGAAAAACGATTACGGAAAAACACATACGAAGGAAAAAATACAAAAACGCAATTAAAGATATGTTTGAAAAATGGAACCAAAAGTTTGGAAAAAAATATGTAATTCATAATTAATGCAAAATTCTCGTCTAAAATTATGAAATAATAATCCGTCTTTAAAGTAGAAAAATTAAAGCAAAAAAATGAAGATTCTGAAAAAAGCTAAACAGTGATTAATTACAGATAACATTCAATTTATAACAAGCAAATAGTATTTCATATAGATTAATAAATGCAACAAGCAGCCAAACCTCTTTCCATTCTCTTGCGTTCATGCAGAAACAAACCTGAAGTGAAACAAGTCGATTAAGAAATGTATAACAATTAGTCAATCAGTACTTATCTACAAATGTATTTATTTTTTCAGTATTTATGAACAAAACTAACACACTATCAGTAACAGTAACAGAATAAGAAGCAAAAATTCTCACTGAAAACATATTCCAATGTTAATTAAAACCAAAACAAAAAAAAAAAAAAAACTGATATTCCAAGAAACAAATAAATGATCCGGAAATTAAGTGCTTCTTATTTGCAAATATAACAACATCTTACGATAATTTCGTTCAAAACCAGGATATGTTTCCGTTACAAAATGATGAGCAACATCGGAGCAAGCAGCCACTGCGTTCAGTAAATCCAGGAATGCTCCCTCACCCATATCAAGCATCGTTCGCAAAATGTATTTCTTAGCAGATTCTTCTCCTTTAAAGAAATATGAAATAATCAAAAATAAAAAATAATAATAATATCGTCAAAGAAGTATCAATTAAACTATTAAATAAACTACTGCAAAAATAAATTTTTGAAAACTATATAAGTCCATTTATTAGCAAAATATCGAAACCGATATATTTGATAAGATTATCATTAATAGTACATCTTTTACACTTATGATTCACAAAATTTCTACTTAAAATTTCAAAAAAAAAGTATATCACTTTTTCCCTTGAAATTTTAGAAAGAAGTTTTGAGAATCATAAGTGTGAAAGAAATCTGAAAAGTGACACTAACAAATTATGAAGTTAGTGTATTACGGATTCTGTAAATTATTTATTAATGATTTTCTACCAGTAACATTTTTATTATACTTCCACATTTATAGCAGATATGATCAACCTTACTTGAGTTTTTATTGATTTCAGGAATTTGCAAAAAAAAAAAAAAAAAAAATAAAGAAGAAGAATAACAAAACAGCTCACCCATTTGCTCAATTATGTTTTTCACCGGCATCATTAAATTAGCATGATGCCGGCTTATGCAGGAAATCTTTTCGCACATAATATCAGGCTTCATATTTTTAAAAATTTCATCGAAATTTTTTAGAACTTCGATTAAGTCGAGTAAATTGCTTCTAAAATTGATACGCAACAACCGCCTGTGAAGCTTCTGGTCGCCTAAAAAGATGATCCAAAAAATTTCAAGCTAAAATTTTAAGCTATCAAAATTTCCAAAAAATTTCAAGATATGGTATGCAAACATCTCTTTGATGATGCATATAATAAAACCAATAGATCAAAACAATAGAAATTTTCATTTCAGTTTATGTCGAACGCACAACATTCAGACTAGGAATATCGAATGAATTCGGTGATAAACAATCGACAATGAATTAATGCAATAATCTCGTACTTTATAATCACAATTTTATTTTTTACAGATAAGTTTGAAAAGTTCCTACTTAATGCTTCTACTTAATGTTCAGCATAAAGTTTAATTCGTTAAATCAACAACTTACAAGATAGGAGGAAAGATAGAACGGTTTCCAAGAGAAGAGTACGTGTCGGTGCTTCCCATAGTCGTTCCCATAGTTTTACTGAGAATGCATTCCAGTTAAACTGATACTGTTCGGTAAGAGTTTCATATTCGTTAGGTTTAAGAAGTAAAGCAAATTTAACAGCTTCCACATGATGTAGCGCAATTCTAAAGAACAACAACTATTAGTTAACAAAAATGAACATTGATATAATAAATGTCTCATCTATTATTCTATCTAGCAAAGAATAGTTGATATTCATATTCGAAATTAAATTATATTGAAAAATTTAATTTTTCAGCAGTCAGTTTAGCAGTTACATAAACAACCAAACAAAGTGTAGTTGCAGGACTTGTATTTGCTGGTCCTATATTACCAGTACTAGCTATAATCGGTATAGCTATAGCTGCTGGATTGGCCAGCTGGAGGTATTGGTGGTATCACATATGCAGTATTACAACCTAGTAACAGTCTAGATAAACCAAACGTAACTGGGCAAAAAGTTCAGGGTATTAAAGTGTAAACAAGTGCACATGCCTAGAACTGGGCTTCAATTTCCATCCAAGAAGTATCATGAAAGTAGCTAATACTGATATTTAGTAAATTTTATTTACTATTTCTGTCATCCTATGGTTTTCCAGTATGAGAAGTTAGTGTCAAGCCCTGAGACGTCGGCAACTATCACGTCATATCACGATTCATTCGTGGTACCTCACCATAGATTCTGCTAATGAGTAACAGAATGACGGTCGTCACTTAGTTATAAACATTAACAAGTTTATCAAATGGAAAAAAGGCAAAAAAACCCCTGTGGATGGCTAGTTATTTACATTTGACTTTCAAGTTTAAGACGTAAATAATTTCCCTTTTTAACAAACTATTTCAATAAATGATATTGCAAATGAAGTAATTAAACAAACAAATATTACTTAAAACAGAAACCTTAATACAGAACATTTGAGCAACCTTAACAAAATAATATGTTTACAATACTTACGAGTGATAATTTTGACAATTTAATGTAATTTTAATAACTCCAAACAAATCAAAATGAGTTCGAGACGTAAATAATTTGCTTTTTTTTAAACAAAATATGTCTCGACAGTATGACGATAATTCCATAAAAAATGAAATTTAATTAGGAAAAATAGAAAAGATGAAATGCAGTTTGAATAATTACACTTACACAATCCTCTCAACCATGAATTTTGCAAGCCTAATAATTAAGTTAGACAAGTCATGTAATTGAGATTTAATGGTCAAATCCATCATTTTGCTTCTACCATATTATGTGTATTAATTTTATATAAATATTGATTTCATATTGTTCTTTGAAAACAGTGGAATAAAACAAATATATGTTTGAAGATGGTCAGTTATCTGTAAAAGAAACTTCTTTATAGCAGAATTACCTTTTCATAATTTCGTCATCATATAAATATAGTAACCGTAATTCTTGTTCCGGCAACATTGCATTAACAATTGCTATTCGTAAATACTGCTACAGCAACGATAATAATAACAATAGTATCTTGCCAATTCCTTTCCTTTTTCATTTACCAACCAAATTTAAAGCCAATCCAAGTAGACCTGATATGTGAACGACAATTAGAATTTCACGTCTTCATTCAGGATTAAAAATAACGAAGAAACAAGAGAAAAGGAAGAAAACAGTGAAAGTTCAAAACAAATAAACATTTATAAGAGAATTTTAATAAAATGAAGAAAAAGGCTAATAAAATAATATTATCAAAGAAATGTTAACAAAATAGCTTCTTCAGGAAAGAAAAGATGTGTAACACATTGCGTTACAACGCTGACTAAAAGATATGAATAAGAATTAGACAGAAATAAAACTAACCATATCGCTTTTTCCAGCTTTGTCCAAAATAAGTGAAATATTATATATAATTTTACAAATTGGAAAAAAGTACCGAAACACAAATGAATTAAATAGTGGCGTAAAAACAAAAACGAATGTAAGTTACAAAAATAAGATTATAATATTAATATTATTCGTAAAAAATAAAAAAAAACACTGAGAAATATAATGATAATAAACATTTCATAATAACAACAACTACCAATCTCAAATATTCATTGTTTGACAAAAAATAGGAAAAAAAAAATGAATTAGCAGAGAGAAAAATAGGTAGCAACAATGATATGATCGAAAGTTTAATAAATTAAAAAAAATAAATGAAAGAATTGAAGCTAAAACAATACACGAAGAAAACTATAAAATGAAGGAAAATGGCACTATTACGTGTGCTTATCACTTGAATACGTCAACATTTCACAACAATTACCTAGCCCACCATTATTACGCCGATTACGTAGCCATACGCGAGACCATATCGATACCCATACAAACATTGTAACTGCATATTGCAGACAAAGCTAGACGGTTTGCATGCAAGTTGCAAACAGACCTCAAAATCGTATGTTACTTTCTTGCTTCACACTTTTACTTACCCTCTCTCCACCTCGCTTTTTCTCTGCTGCTACTGTTATTGTTAAATGTATCTGAAAGATTTTTCTATTATTCATTATTTTATTTCATTTCATTTTAATTAACTATTATAAGACTTTTTCATTAACTATTACTTCCATAGTATTATTTCTTTATTCTTTCTTTTTTTTTTCTACTTTTCAATCCTTTTTCTTTAACTAATAATCCTACAAACAAAAAGGAAAATTTATCATAATGAAAGGATGAAACGAACGATAAGACAAATTCTACCGTATGCCACAGTATAACTCTGTTTGAATATTATTCTTACCGTATACAACAGTTATAATTTTGAATATTATTCTTACCGTATACAACAGTTATAATTTTGAATATTATTCTTACCGTATACAACAGTTATAATTTTGAATATTATTCTTACCGTATACAACAGTTATAATTTTGAATATTATTCTTACCGTATACAACAGTTATAATTTTGAATATTATTCTTACCGTATACAACAGTTATAATTTTGAATATTATTGTTACCGTGTACAACAGTTATAATTTTGAATATTATTGTTACCATATGCAACAGTTATAACTTTGAATATTATTGTTACCGTATGCAACAGTTATAATTTTGAATATTATTGTTACCGTATACAACAGTTATAACTTTGAATATTATTGTTACCGTATGCAACAGTTATAATTTTGAATATTATTGTTACCGTATACAACAGTTATAACTTCGAATATTATTGTTACCGTATGCAACAGTTATAACTTTGAATAATATTGTTACTGTATAAATGATGCAATTTGATATCATGCAATCACATATGTATGTATAACACAAAATGGAAATTTTCAATAATAATTATTTTTGTAAATAAATGTGAGTTTTTAATTATTAATAAAATAAGGAACAAGATAATAATAAATTTTTTTAGGTTTCATTTTTATTAAAATAAAAACAAAATTTTGATCTATTAATTACTGATAAAAAAAAAATAGATTTCTTTTTTACCTTATCGGCAACATCATTTGATTCACTCATTATATCAGTGATATAAATGATTGATCACTTTCTTTTTTTTTGATAAAAATTAATTACGATTTTACTCAAGAACATTAGTAATATATTACAAGCTACATTTCTTTATCTAATGAAATAATTATTACAGCTATATATATGTAACATGGTTATATGCATACAAGTATTTAAAATTTTTAAAGTTATTTTAAAAGATATGGCACATATGAGAAATTAGATACAATTAGTATTAGAATAATTGCATTCAATTTTCCACCAAATTATGCATAAATTTTTTACTACAAAAAATTAAAAGTTAAAATATTTAGGAGAAATGATAAGAGTATCAGTTATTTCCTCTTCTTATATATTATTTGTAATATTTTTTGTTTTCATTTTATGTTCGCATATTTAATTCAAAGAAAATGTAATGCAATTAATCGAACCTTACACTTTCCTAATATTTTTTTTTTTTTGCATTGACATATGCATTAAAAAGAGTTGGATAAGATGAAAATAATTGATTTGTGTACGTAAATTTTAAATGCTGAATTTTGATTTTCACTTATTTCAATTCAATTCAATTTAATGTAGTATTTCAGTTCTGCATTGTATACAATCCGTTCAACTCGATTCAATATACTTTAATTAGATTTAACATTGCTCAGTTGCTTTCAAATGGATTCAATTCAATTTAATTTCATTTTAAAAGCACATGCAAAATATATATATTTAAACCACTTACACATGCAAGCAGCAATAGAAGCAAGTGTAATCTTGCAGTTTATTTTCAAAAAAAAATTTTTTCTTTTTTTTTTAAGCCGATTTAAGTTAAGAAGATTTTCATCCAATAAGATGAATTGAAACTTTTTTTTTCAAACAGAAAAAGAGAAGGAAGAAAAAGGTAGTATATGTGTATTATAAAGTTAAAATGAAAATTGTATTTGAGTTTGTATTTCAACAAAATATAATAAAATAATATATGAGCAGTAGCTAATTTAATGTATAATTTAGTGAATTTATTATATTTGAATTGATTAAAATGTAATAAAATTATTAAAAAAAAACATGGTTAAATATTAGCTGTTATTTTTATTTTTATTTTTTTTTGTTGGTTTATATTTTATCATTTATACTTTTATCAAATATTGCAAGTAAAACTAAACTTTTTCATCTCGTTTTTCCCTCTTCTCTTTTTTTTTTTTTTTTTTTTGTAAAAAAATATAGCTGAAGCAAATTTTTCATATTTTAAAAATTTTATTCCTCCTGAACAAATTATCAAAATAGATTGAACAACAAATTGGAAATTAGACTAGAAGTTGGGAGAAAATGGGACCTTATTGAATTTTCTTTCATTCAATTCAGTATTATCTTTTACTTCGTTATTCTCGTCAAATCGCACCATTCATTTCCGATCATTTTTACTTCAATTTGTTAAAATAAAAATTCATCGCAAATTTTATTCCTTATACTATTTTATTATTTTAATAAACAAAAATTTCCCATTTATCTTTTATCAGTAATTTGATATTTCCCTCATTTTCTTTTTTCAACTTATTGATAGTTGCATTATTATTGATACTAGACGAAAGTAGTAAGTGAGAATGGTTAATGCTTTTGTTTTATCTTCTTAGCCTAGGCCATATTTTTATTTCATTCTTGGCTGGACTATATTTTTTGGCAAGATTTCTTTCCATTTACAATTTTTTCTCCCATATCTCTAAATTAAAATAACAAAAAAAAAAAAAAAAAAAAACTTCGCAATAAGATTGGCTTTTTAAATTAATTTAGTAAAATGCATTTCTTTTATATCATTCACTGTTATTTGCAAATTTATTCAGCTTTATTACAAAAAAAAAAAAAAAAAAAAAAAAGAAAGAAAATTTTAATTTTCAAAATAAAAAAAAAAAACTCCTCATTCAAGCATAAAATTTGAAAATTGAAATTTTTCATGAAATTTATGACTCTATTATTAAATCAACCAATATGTATAATTATCAATGGAATTGATGTAAAATTATACGGGATGCTTGTTTGATTATTTTCATTAGAATTTTGATAATTTGAAAAGAGTGACATGGATTGTTACTGTCACACACTATTATCATGACATCAAGTGGTGACATTTATCCATCATTGTCATATTACTATCACCATGTCATCATCACATTAATGGTTACCTTCAAATAATTTATTCTTTCTTTGAATTCAATTTAAATTCCTACACTTATTTGCAATGAAACCTCTTTCTTCGTTTTTTAATGGGAAAGAAAAAATACTTTCCGAATTACCGAATCGATGAGTTTACACAAAAAGCTATTTTTGTTGTGTAATAAAAATTTACGCAGAATATATTTAATCAATGAAAATTTAACAAAATTTTGTTTTAAAAATTAATATATTAGTAAATTATACAAATGATGCATATATGAATAATAATTTTTAATGAAATCATTAGTAAAATTACTAGAAATTTCTTTGTGATCTTTTTTTTTTTTCTTTGTTAGAGAAAATTTTTTTTTTCTCAATAGTTTAGTTACGGAAAAAAAATTTTTTTTTTTTTAAATTACTTCTTCATTAGTGTAAGAATTAAAAAAAAGACAAATTTTTCTTGAACAAAAAGTTGAAATTCAATATATTTTAATCTTTGCTTTTTTTTTTACCAACTTTTTTCCCTTTTTTTTTTTGATTTTATTAATTATGAGAATGTTGACAATAAAAAAAAAAAAAAAAAAATTCATTGCTTTCTAAATTGCAATTAATATGTTTTTATTCTAACACAAAGTCTTTAATTATTATAATTTGTTGTTAAATTGTTTTCGTTTTTTTTTTCTCTCTCATCAATTATTTGAGTTTGATTATAAAATTTTGCAAAATTTGCTTTTTAAAAGTGAAAAACAAAAAAAGTTTTTCCTCTTCTTTTTTTTTTTTTTATTTTCATGAAAACAGAACACGAAAAAAAAATAATTGTTGTTTATGTTGATTGAGTGTAAAATAAACACGAATGACAGACAGGTGACAGATTTAATTAATATGCAGATGTTTGTTTGCATGAATGCATGCATGTACTCTTTTCATTGTTTCATATTTCAATGGTTGACAACTGTACCGGTGACAAATAATAAAAGATTCAAAAGGTTGGGTAGGTTGCAATGAATTAATGAAAAGAAAAATCAGGAAAAATAAAAAATGCATTTGTGTCTAGGCCAAGTAAAATTAGCTTATTAATGCATTATTATTACTATCATTATTATTCGTAGTTTTCTGTGTTATTATTGCTATTATTATTATTATTATAAGTGTATTATTGTTTGTTACTATTATTTGTTATTATTATTATTGTTATTAATACCATTGTTTATTGTTATT